GGGGCGGCGGCGCAGGTGCCAAGGGCTAGGGTTGCAGGAGGGTCCTCAGACAGGTTCGGTCCCGTGATTTCACGCAATCAATCTTCATTAAGGCAACGTTTGGTAGAACTCCAATTGCTTCTAAAAGGGCTCTCTGGCTCTGACTCCTCATGTGGAATAGCTTTTCTGGTGGAGTTAAAGCCATCTAGAAGTATATTTGGCAAAAACGGTTCCAATAGTTTTATAAGAATTTATGTTAAGTTTGTAAGGAGGAGCTGAGAGAAGCAACTTTTTTTTTGCTCCGACTTCTCTATAAAAAATGGCTCCAATTCCTTGTAGGGAGTCGTTTTTTAGGCCGTTTGTGGTGGGGCTCATTACAAACAACCGTAAGAACCCCGAAATAATGTATCAGGACTTGTAACATAGGGAAGACGATGGATAGTGGATTAATCATGACTACTAATAGTTTGAATGACTATATTTTCAATAAATCTCAACAATAATTACAAAAAAGTTGTGGTCAAATACGTGTTATGGATTGTGTGCCTACGCGGGGCCTGAACGTGAGCCGGGCACGGGAGCAAAGAAGCACGCTGGCCAACTGCAGTTCACAGGAATTATGTTTCATAATTATGGTGTAGTGGTGAGAGATGTCTCACTGAGTCACTAGGTCGTGGGTTCGAAGTAGCCTTTCCGTAAATTTGTGGAAAAAAGGTTTGCCTCGGTTTTTCTCTTCCCCAGACTCCACTCATGTGGGAGCCTCCGGCACTGGGTCTACCCTTTAATTAACTAGTAGATAGTTCATTTGAATTATCACGTGTACACATACATATTATTCATGAAAAACATATTTCATTTCTTATAAACTAGCTTCTTTTGTTCAGAAAGGGAAATCTACCTGATAAAAAATGGGTGTGACTTGCAAGTGAAGAGAGTAATAATAGTTAATTAGGCTTCTCAGAAATAGGTGAACTTTTCGCCAACCTTGCTTAACAATATGAGGATGGGGCATGAATTTAGATACAGACGGCCGTAGAAGAGCCAAATGGGATTTTTTCAAAAAAAAAAAGAGAGACAAAAAGGGCTGGGTTTATTTGCAACCAGCGTGCATCATGTGCCTGCGGCTGCGCTGACCACGATCGAGCCGGCGGCCGCTGCTGTGCGCTTTATGTGTACTTGATGCTGAGAATTTGTGCTGCATGCATCATTTGGATTGGGATATATCCACGGAGATCATGAAACAACGCTGATGTATCAGTACCACCAACCGGCGTGTGTTGAGCACGGAGTGCTACAGTGTGCCTTTGCTGGCTGGCTTTATCGGTTATCAGAAACAGCGTCTCCCACTTTTTTTTTTCGCGATCGGCCTTTTACCCGCTTTTCATTAAGAGGAAAGGCCAAAAGAAAGGCCAATAACGGTTACAAAGGACTTACAAGTAATCCTAGGATTACCTGGGGAATCCGAAAGACACAAACAAACAACAAGAAAACACGAGGGGGAACCTTCACCTCAAACACCAACCGACTATGCTGCAAAGAAAATACATCCGCGCAATGGTCGCCACCACAGGGGGTGAAGCCGTGGTGGCAAAGCATCCACCGGTAGAATATCCGCAAGCGACCAGGTAGCCGCTGTGAAGAAGAAGATGACAATATCCGCAAGCGACCAGGTAGCCGCTGCGAAGAGGATGACGACAGTATCCGGATGCGACCAGGTAGCCGCTGCGAAGAAGAAGACGACGGCATCCGCAAGCGACCAGGTAGCCGCTGCGAAGAAGGTGGCGACTGCGGCAACAACAACACTCTAGGTAGACAGACCAAAGCGAAGAGGACGTTGAAGCACGGCAGGCACAGTAAAGGATATGAGTGGCCCCGACGGATGGTGGCCAACAACGAAGCCTTCAAGAAGGGAATGATGTCCAAAGACGCCAACAACATTGAAGAGGGCACAAGGAGGACTTTCGTCCCGTAATCGGCCCCAATGACCGCGCGAAGAACTGATCCTTCGATGACGCCTTAAAGAAGGGAATGACGTCCACAGACGCCAACAACGTTGAAGAGGGCACAAGGAGGACTTTCGTCCCGTAACCGGCCCCAACGACCACGCGAAGAACTGATCCTTCGACGACGCCTTCAGGAAGGTGGATGACGCAGGCTGTGCCACCGCCGCTGGCCCGTAGCGAGAAGCTGGGCAGGGTTTTCACCCAGGAGCTTGTTCGATCACGGTCGCTTGGGGAGTCCCTTGACCACGCCCACCGGCCCGTCCAACGACCCGGAGTCAGCCGCAGGCGGCCTCAAACTCCAGCACGACCTATGTCCGGCTACGTACCACCAGTGCATCGATGAGCGACCATCGTGAGCATGTAGGAGCAGCCGATGTTGACGAAGGTGCGCCGCAGTTCTAGCCCCGTGGGGCCTAGCCTCTCCTAGACCAGCACGTTGGCCACCCGCCCCAAGCTGCCGTGGCCATGGCCACCAGCCTAGAGAACGCGGTGGAGAGGCCAGCGCAGAGGGGGCTCCGGCAGGCTCGCCATGGAGGTACCCACGAGTCCCGCAACTGACTCGTGGCCGGGTCTCGCAGCTGGGAGCGAAGCACGGTGCCAGGCTCGTTGTAGTGCAACCGCTCGGCCTCGCAGATGTGCTAGAGCAGCTCCCCACCCGCCCCGTACTCTACCACGGTCGCAGGACCGCATCGGCGTCAGCAGGGCCACGTCGCCGCCGACGCAGGATGCAGATGAAGGGAGGCCGCGGTTAGTCTCCTCGCCTGCGTGGTGGAGAGGCGGCATGCGCCCGCCGGCCCAGGCGGCGGCGGAACAGAGGCAGGGGATGCCGGATCCGGCCGCCTGCCGCTGGAAGCCGCTGCCAGAATCGGGCGACGTGACTCGGCCGCCGCAGATCGGATCCGGGCCATCGAACGCCATGCCAGCTCCCATTTGTCCACCGCGCGACGGATCCGGTGCGGAGGTTGCCAGATCCGGGTCTAGAGGACGCGGATCCAGCGCATCGAGTGCTCACCGCCGGCCATCCTTGTTGGAAGATGTTAGAGGTCAAGGGAGGAAGAGGAGGGGAGGAGAGGAAGGGAGAGGTGGGAGACTGTTGCGAGTGAGCCTTTTTGGGCGCCCTAGCGGGCCGCCGCCATCGCTAGACGGAGGGCGGCGGCGGCGGCCGAGGAGCTCCGGCGTGGCCGGAGCTTTTGGCTGCGGTGGCTGGTCGCCCCCTGAGTCGCCCGTTGGGAGCGCTCGGGGGGGGGGATAGCGTCTCCCACGGAAAAGTGAAGTGGTACGTGCGAACGTGGAGTTCTGCATAGAGTAGAAGTTTTGGTGTCCAATTGTTTTTGGCCTCAGCTGGTAGAAAAGTCATAAATTTTGTTTTCAGCTTTCTTTTTTTATGTTCCGTAAAATGCTACTTCTTTATTTTAAATTGTAAGTCGTTATGGCTTTTCGAGATATACATAGTAAAACCATGTATCTAGACATCGTATATATCTATTACATAGCAAAAACCATATGTACTTAGAAAAGGTAGAACGACTTATAATTTGAAACTGAGAAAGTACAAAACTGAAGATGATGAAATGGCGCAACAGATTATTATTAAAGCATAAATTCTGATTAACTAAGCTATCAAAGACCATCAACTCCAAAACCTAGACATACCAAATGCTTTCAATGTCACGTCTTCAACCCACGCACGTTGCCAACATGTGCCCATGGTCACGGCCTAAGCTCAACATCACATCATATTTGCACTTGAGGAGATCAGATCTAGCCATGGGGCGGCCAGCGGAAAGGGATCCACCAACATGTGCCCATTGTTGTGTTTTTGAGGTATTAATTAGCTCAACATCACATCAAACTAATTAGAACTTTAATATCTAATTCATCACGTAAACCAGATAGGCGGACTCTTCTCCGGAGAGTGGAAGGGCGTCACACGCACGGACAAGGAGAGAGAATATGCATGGACCAAAATTTGGAGAGATTTTTTTCATTCTTGAATATGATTAAGTGTGTGTACACGCGCGCGCAGAGAGAGAGAGAGAGAGAGAGAGAGAGAGAGAGAGAGAGAGAGAAGGGAGAGCCTTGCTGCTTGTACAGTGTTATTATAGATACTATCTTAACTTACTTATGTATATGACTTGTTCATATCCATTGGGTATACCACGCGCATAATCAGGGGAGTACATTTGTAGGCACATATGCTAATGATCTAATATATATTACCTAATCAACCAAAAGGGACATCCGAATGATGTGCAAAAGGAAGGTCAAGAATAGATGCCACTCCACTCCTCACCAGCAGCCATTTTAATAATATCTTATGGAAAACACAGCTGATAGCCCTGAATCCCTGATACGTCAAGCATGCATACATTCCAGCAGATCGATCTTTCAAATACTAAATATATATATTGTCTTGTCAAACGAAAAATAGTGATCACAATTTACACAAGGTAAAACAATCCAAAAGGGTCAGGAACAAGTACACTGACTGCAAGCAGGCACACAAGCATAACAGCATTGTAGGTAATATGGGGAGAGCACTAGCTAGAGCCATGGGCCATCATGGCTACGGCCTTTACCTCCCGTCACCACCACTAGACACGTCGGCAGCCTTCGTGCCTCTCACAAGCATAGCTGACAGCTCCCAGTCAACCATGCGTGTTCTGTTCCCTGCAGCATGATTCACGCATCCTTCGTCTCCATGTGTAGGAGCCGATCGAGTTGAGGTGATCACACTAGTGCCACGAGTACGCACGAGTTACAACTTACATACATGAGTGCTCATGCACAGAGAGGCTACTAATTAAGAACTGAACAACAGAGACTAGCAGAGACAAGGAGCTAGCTCTCGCTGAAAGGTGAGTCATTAGCTCTTATTTGACGACGATGGCCAGAAAGGAAATAGTAAAGGCCACAAAGTAGCTAGATCGAGATTGATAGGTCTTGCATGCACCTTGCATGCGATAAGGAGATGGGAGTAGGGGCTGAGGATTGATGCGGTTGCTGCAGGGTGATCGATCAGCGGCGGCGCGCGGCGGTCTCCCGCTGCACGTTGAAGTAGACGGCGGCGACTGGGAGGCCGAGATCGTTGTCGGCGGCAAAGCGGCGGGTGCTGAAGTAGTCCCTGGACGTGGGCGGGCGCACCGACTGGCGGCTCTTCTGCTTGAACAGCACGAAGACGAACCTGTGGATGCCGATGTAGGGTTTGGGGCTCTCGTACATCGCCAACTCCCTTCCTGCTTGCATGTAATTGTGTACTCGATTTTTAGCTACAAGTTTCTTTTGTTCATCTAATCTCTCTCTCCTGAAGTTCATTAAGCGAAAACAGTTTTCAAAACGATGATGAATTGAGCGGCTTACCAAAAGAAGCATCAGTTGTTCCAGGAATGTCGGTGACGATCCTGCAAGAGGTGTCGACCAAAGTTTACTCTTGTCAGCTATATTTTATGCGCAACCATACTATATTTGTGCACCTGGCTCCCTGACTCACTTTTTATGATAATTTGTGCAACAGCAAAGCACTACTTATAATCCTATAGTCAACTAGTCATATGCTTGAACCTTTATGTTTATATTTGGTTCTTTCTTATTACTCTTAATGAAAAAACAAATGTTTAGGCTTACCAATGGAGATGCTCTCTCAGGTATGGATCACTAGGCCCTGGCACATCTGGGTCAGTCATGACCTGAAGAACACAACAATAATAATAGACAACATCAGCTTGAAAGCTGAAATTTGTTACAGCACTACGGACGTAAGCTGATGTGCACTCATCACCTGTTGTAAGCTAAGAGATTAACTGAATCACATCTTAGTTTGTGTGAGAGAAGGGATCAACAAGGAAACCAACCAGTGTGAAGAAGGACCTCATGTCGTCGCCCTGAACCTCCACGCGCGGCTTGGACAGAACCGCAGACGGAAAGAACTCATGGCCGTTGAACACCTGCTTGTTGGAGCCGTAGGTAACCGTCATCTTCACCGTGGGGTTGAAGTTGTCGATGACTTCCCCGATCACCTTGCCGACGACTAGAGGCTCCAACACCCTAGACATGGCTAAGCTTGGAGTACTGAAGAGTGCCTCTAATAATATATGAGATAACTCTCTTGGATTGCGGCTCAGAGTGGGAGATGCGTTCCTCTATTTATAGCCGTCTGGCGGAGCGCTAGCCGGCCGGGCTGGGAGAAATGAAGCGTGAATAATTAACAACAGCATTATTCTTGTCCCATCATTTTCGCAAAACTCATTGGCTTATTGTCGTAAAACACAGGCACAGAACAAAAAGGTCTTGGAATCCGAGTATCCCTAAAGGTTCGATAAGGACATGCTCCCTCCATCCCAAAATATCTGTCGTTTTCGTTTATCGAGAAATAACTTTAATAAAATATATATAAAAAATATTAATATTTATGGTATAAAATTAGTATCATTGAAAAGATCTTTGAATCTATTTTTTAATAAATTTATTTAGAGATACAAATGTTGCACGTATTTTCTACAAATCGAGTCAAACTTGCGATACAAAAACCCAAAACAACAGATAATTTGGGACAGAGGGAGTACGTGCCACTTTGATTCTCTTTAAGAGGCGGAGCTAAAATAATACGTTAGCGGCTCAAGCACAAACTACTAGGGTCAAACATGTTTTATTCTCTGCGTTAATAGAGTGATTTGCATGTTATAGCACTAGTTTCCACTGCTAGTTGTGTTAAAATCCACGGTAGTAGCTCATCATGTGAAGTAGTTTTGAAATTGACAGTTTTACGTTGCTATCATTGTCGGGTGGAGTACATCACTATTGTAAAAACGATATTCAGGGAGAATAAAATACCACATTTCGAGCTACGGATGGTTTTTCAAATCGATACTATGCCATCAATTGTAAAGATGTGTCCTTTATAGAGGGCGCTTCCAATAGCCCCTATAAATGCATTTCATTACTATGATTAGTGGTGGAGACATACCCTATGATTAGTAGGTAGGCTAAAAGTTGTTATGTCTCCAAAAATCAGTGATTTTAGATTCAAGTCTATTTATGGAGTCAGGCCAATAAAAAACCTTCTTTGTAAATGGATTTAGAGAGGCGAGCTTATTAAAAGTGGCGTCTCTATAAATAGGTCAATTATCGGATGTGGCCCTTTTAATAGGCCCAACCAAATGAAACCCTAATAAGCCGTCTAGCCCGGGAACGCTAGCCTTGTAGCCCTCGTACGTGCCCATCCCCCCTGTCGGTGTTTCGAACCACCGGCTAATAAATTTGTATTTGCGCGTCTGGCCCGGATGGTGTGATCGGAGGACACAAGGATTTATACTAGTTCGGACGGAATGTCCCTATGTCCAGTGTGTCGCTGCTCTTGTTACCGGCACTAGTTTATAGTAGGGTTTACAAACGGGCGAGAGAGGGAGAAGGTCCCAAGTCTCGACAAAAGATCGAATAGAGTCGAGTCTTGCTGAGCTCGTTTAGCCGTGTGTTCGTTTCGCCCCCCTCTTTTTTCCTCTTGGGGTGTCTGCTTCCTCTTTTATAGGTGAAGGGGAAGGCACAGGTTATAAAGAGAAGGAAGGAGAAAAGCGAGGGAGAAGAAGGCCTCCAAGGCCGCCGGGTCCTTCTTCTCCTTCATGCGGGTCCCGCTGACACTGTAGATGGTGACGGGTACGGCTCCACGTCGGGCACCTGTTCAGCAATGGTGCCATGCCCCGGCGTCATCAGCTGGTCGTGGCGTCCCATACCGTCCTGGCGGACGGCGTGGTGAACCGATGAGCCGGTCAGCGACCGTACGGGGAGTAGGTAGCGCACTGACCACACACCCGTCACTGTTGGCAATGTGAACCGCCGGGCATGGCCTGATGTGGCCATGGGTCATGTCGAGACGTGCCTGCTTCCCACCCGGTGTCAGAAGTTTGACCCCGGGATCGTACCTTCTGACCCGTAGTGGTTGGAGGCGGTATGGGTCCCCCGTGGGCGGCGGAGCTCGTGCCCTCAGGGTCTGGCGAGACGGCTCCTGTACCCTTGGGGTCGGGCGACACGGGGCCCGTGCCTAAGGGGTCGGGCGAGACGGAGCCTGTGCCCTCAGGGTCGGGCGAGACAGCTTTCGTACCCTTAGGGTCGGAGACACGGGGCCCGTGCCTAAGGGGTCGGGCGAGACAGAGCCCATGCCCTCGGGGTCGGGCGACATGGGGCCCGTGCCCTCGGGGTTAGGTGAGACGGAGACCATCCTTGATTATCTAGGCGAGTCGTCATCCACGGTCCTCAGATCCCCTCTTCGGGTATCCCTAACACTGATACCCGACAGTAGCCCCCGAGCCTACGGAGGAGTAGGATACTCCTTCATAGGTTTTTTTGGATGGAGGGACTTGGAGAGCTTTGATCTTCTGCTGCCCGCGGGATGCCTTGGTGGGTTGCTATTCCCTCCTATTGCGATCGGACTCCTTGGAAACATGTAGCTGTGGGATTCGAGGGGCCCGGAAGAGATTTCTCTTGATTCCGATCCCTCCCTAGGATCCGATAGATCCGTCATCGTCATGTGACCGCGTATTCGATCTCCTTGCAAGTCCAACTTCCCTTGAGCCCCACGCGTAGTAGGGTTCTGGTTGAGGGGTCGGCTCTTCTTGCGATCATCTTCCCTCAAGCGTTTTTCTGATAAACCAGAGGGGCTGAGCCGTGCCATGTTTTCCTCGCTAAATGAATCATGGTGCTCGCTGAGCTATTAATGGGCTAGTCCAAGTGGGGCCCTAGCTTCCTGTTCATGGGGGTCCAGCATGGGTCAGCTGGTGACCGACTCCAGATTCTTGGTGGCCAATCTAGATAGTTCTTGGGTCTGTTCGACCGGTCCTAAGGGCTCGCCGTATTTCTTTGAGGAAAAACCATGGACTGTGAACCGACTAAGACTCGAACGTGGGCCGGGATGCCCACGGTGCTCGTGCACCTGGGTATTGGCCGCTAGTGGGCCCATCCCTTTCCACCCCTCACTCTAAGGGTGCCCCTAGAGCAGTTGCGAACCCATCGGTGGGCCAACCTTCGAACTCTTGGGCCCGAATGGGCCGTGGGAGCATTTTTAGCTCTGTATCCCTCCTTACCTATGGTGGTTCTTGGCCCACCGATTGGGGCAAACCGTCATCCAGCGTGTCCTTTGAGGGAGCAGCCAGAGGTGGCGTGCGCATGTTTCTTGGAGAGGCGATGTGACGCGGCGCGGTGGGCGCGTAAATCTAGGCAGACGGTTCGCCTGTCGCTTCACCCTGCCCTATAAATAGCGGCCTCCCCCTTCACGTTTTGGAACGCTAAACCACAGCCTTGCCTTCTCCGTCTTTCCGCCGCTGTCGTTTGGATCTGCTGCCCTTGCTAATCCGCCGTCAGCACCCTATATCCATAGCATTCGCTTCTCCGCCACCACCAAAAAGCCCTTGCTCCTCCCATGGAGACATGGTATCGCTCCGATGTCACTCACGCGCGCATGGAGGGCCTCGCCAAGCGTGGTCTTCTCCATAGGAGGACCAACGTGGTGGAGTGGCTCATGCCTGGTCGTGAGGATGCACCGGCGCCGCCCGATGGCTATGTTGTGTCCTTCACGCCCTTCCATGAGCATGGACTCATGATTCCTCCCCATACGTTCTTCTAGGGACTGCTGCACCACTACCAGATCAAGCTGTAGCATCTGAACCCTAATGGGATCCAGCGCATCGTAGCCTTCATCGCGCTGTGTGAGGGATACCTAGGGATCAAACCCCACTTTGAACTATGGAGGTACTTCTTCTTCGTTTCCCTGCACAAGAAGAGGGATAAAGCTGGGGACTTGCTAGTGCTGATGTGCTACATGAGCATCCACCTCTGGGGGCAGCGGTCCACCATGTACATGCCCTATCAGCTATCGAGGTCTAACAAGGGGTGGAATGCATAGTGGTTCTATGTGAAGAACGACACCGCTGCCTCCTTGCCGGATTTCACCAGACGCCTCATCAAAGAGGCACCGAGAAGGAGAAGAAGCGGATGCGCAATATCCTCGATGCCATCGCGTTCCTGAAGAACCACGACCTCCACAAGCCCGGTGTCATCGGGGCATATCACACGAGGAGGGTGGCGCCACTGATGGCGTGTGCCCTCCCGCTGTATGGGATGATGCCCGGCGCATGGCTTGACGGGACGGTGCTCACCCAAGGGCCGTTCCGCGACAATGAGGTTGCGCAATGCATCAAGGAGGCGACGGAGGAGTTTGACACTGTGTTCCTGATCCTGAGACATCCTGTGATGCGGCCGAACATGGGCTTCGTTGAGCTATCGACGGGTTTGGGATTTCGGGCCTCCATCGTGCCGCTCTAGAGCACGTGGCTGTGAGGGCTGCGAACCACGCCGTAGATGAGCAGAGCAAGAAGGATAAGGACGACAAAGAGGTGAGGTGACGGGCGAAGCAGCGAGCGAGGCTGAACTGAGGAAAGCAGCAGCAGGGTTCGAAGGAGGAAGAAGAGGAGGAAGAAGAAGGCGATGGTTCCGGGTCGCCCGTCCAATGGGACAAGCTAGGCGGTGGGGACAGTTTTGGGTCACCCATCCAATGGGATGACCTAGGCGGCGGGGACGAGGATCTGTCTCTATCATAGGTGGGGCCTTTCCCGTGGCATGCCCTAAGGTAGGAGGGGGAGGATGCGCCCTTAGAACCAGTGGAATCAAGCCGCCCCGCTCCATCTGAGCATCTCGTGGTGCCCTTGGAGTCGGCGGGGACTGGCCGCTTCGCTCCATCCAGACCCTATGAGCAGAGGGAGGGCTCGAAGCGGCAACGTGCCAACGAGGAGCAGCTAGGGTCGGGCGGGCTGGCCCCAAAACGTCCTCGCCCGATGGTGTCAGGGTGAGTCAAGAGTTTTTTCATCCTTTTGTTGTAACAAATTTTTGCCGTAAACTGACCGTCATGTCCTTTGCAGCGTCGGAGGTCATGGGACTCTCTTGAGACTTGCGCCAAAGAAGAGCCTCCTCTGGTAGACATGCTAGGAGCCGGCTGGTGCTGCGTCGGAGGTGAGCAGGAGTCGCGCTAGGGCAGCCATGGCTTCAACCAAGGAGGCGCAGCCGATGG